TTGTTTATTTAGCAGACCATGAAATGGAGAAAGTACGCGACGAGGTTTTGATTGGTGTCAACAGTGCATTCTACCAGTCCTTATTTCTGTACTTGTTTCTGTACGTAGGGCTGCCTTGGGTTATTGTACCTTATTGCGAATAAAAAAAAATAGAGGAAAAGAATATACAAGGCGCGCTAGGTGAGTTAACTGTTTTGACCACATAACGGTTGGTGAAGAGAGAGAGAGAGAGAGAGAGAGAGAGAGAGAGAGAGAGAGGGAGGTGAGGGAGAAGGAAGGAAGAAAGACCTGATATTTTCACCAAAGCAGGATTTCCGCCCTTTGATTGATCTAGCATGTTTTAGTGCCATGCCGGGCATGAAATGAAAAACAAATTTAAGACGGCAGGAATCTGTTCAAAGGATTCGCCCTGGTCGCGCTTGTGATTTCTTTAATCGTCGTGTCGAAGTAAATTTATTCACGGCAACACGGCTAAAAATAAGACAGGAGATCAAGAAAGCAAGGTGAATGCGTACACTGTATACATGTATGCCGATAAGCAAATAGGTGTAGTAAGATATATTTTACCTTTTTGTAATATTCACTTTGGAGTGATTTTTACTGGGCTTAAAAATATTTATTTGTTGTCATTTTGGTCTTGCTGTAACAGATTTACGTGTAGCATCACTCTCCTTAAATTATGTCTTTTAGGTGACATAACAGAAATATGATGACAAACTGTGAAACCATGTGCGCACGCACAAACACACACACACACACACACACACACACACACACAGAGAGAGAGAGAGAGAGAGAGAGAGAGAGAGAGAGAGAATTGGTGAACCGAGTTACGAGCAGCAGTTCATTAAAACCCCATTTGCGCATCGTTTCTCAGCTGTCAGGAGTCGCGACACAGCAGCACAAAAATGTAAAGTAATGGAAGCAAGTGGAGCGTCACAAGAATAAAGTCCTTCAAAACGCATCGATCAAGTTAAATACATCGTTTTCAAAGCTGACTTTGTTTGTGAGTTTCCCAAATTACCTCTTTAAGCGATTAGCAGGTATTTTTCGCAGTGATGTTTGTGGAAGGATTGATGGCGTGTTCAGCTGTTTTGTGTCTATTAAAAAGGCATTAAAACGGACGTGCTGTTGCGTACACCCTGAAAAGTAAAGTTAAGCCATTTGGAAACTTGAGGACAAGAGATAAAGGGAGAGAAAAAATCAAGTTAAATAAACCTTAACTGCGGTGCACAATTAAGGCGGTATCATCTCCCTATTGCAATTCATCTTCCGTACTTTATTGATTTCGGTAGCAGAAACTGGAGTCGTCGTGTTGGTTTTGATGGAAGAAGGCTCGATTTGAAATTCAATTTCCCTCTTGAGGGAGGGATAAAATTGGATGAGGAGGGAGATGGCTAAGTAACGCTCCTCTCGAGCTTTTCCCAAACGCACAATTTGTCTGCCTAATGAAAGTAAAGTATTAATCTGCGTATAATTGGAGATATATTTGAAAATCTAATTTTCTTTTACCATTTAGGCTNTCAACAGTGCATTCTACCAGTCCTTGTTTCTGTACTTGTTTCTGTACGTAGGGCTGCCTTGGGTTATTGTACCTTATTGCGAATAAAAAAATAGAGGAAAAGAAAATATAAGGCGCTAGGTGAGATAACTGTTTTGACCACATAACGGTTGGTGAAGAGAGAGAGAGAGAGAGAGAGAGAGAGAGAGAGAGAGAAGGGGAGGGGGAGGTGCGGGAGAAGGAAGGAAGAAAGACCTGATATTTTCACCAAAGCAGGATTTCCGCCCTTTGATTGATCTAGCATGTTTTAGTGCCATGCCGGGCATGAAATGAAAAACAAATTTAAGACGGCAGGAATCTGTTCAAAGGATTCGCCCTGGTCGCGCTTGTGATTTCTTTAATCGTCGTGTCGAAGTAAATTTATTCACGGCAACACGGCTAAAAATAAGACAGGACATCAAGAAAGCAAGGTGAATGCGTGCACTGTATACATGCAGGTTGATAAGCAAATAGGTGTAGTAAGATATATTTTACCTTTCTGCGATATTCACTTTGGATCGATTTTTACTGGGCTTATAATTATTTAAATGCTGTCATTTTGGTCTTGTTGCAACAGATAACCCAGAGAGAGAGAGAGAGAGAGAGAGAGAGAGAGTTATCTGTTTGCTAGCGTTTACATGTAGCATCACTCTCCGTAAATAAGTTCTTTTAGGTGCCATAACAGAAATAGAAGAAATATGATGACAAACTGTGAAACCATATGCGCACGCACAAACACCCACCCTCACACACACACACACACACACACAGAGAGAGAGAGAGAGAGAGAGAGAGAGAGAGAGAGAGAGAATTGATGAACCGAGTTCCGAGCAGCAGTTCATTAAAACCCCATTTGCGCATCGTTTCTCAGCTGTCAGGAGTCGCGACACAGCAGCACAAAAATGTAAAGTAATGGAAGCAAGTGGAGCGTCACAAGAATAAAGTCCTTCAAAACGCATCGATCAAGTTAAATACATCGTTTTCAAAGCTGACTTTGTTTGTGAGTTTCCCAAATTGCCTCTTTAAGCGATTAGCAGGTATTTTTCGCAGTGATGTTTGTGGAAGGATTGATGGCGTGTTCAGCTGTTTTGTGTCTATTAAAAAGGCATTAAAACGGACGTGCTGTTGCGTACTCCCTGAAAAGTAAAGTTAAGCCATTTGGAAACTTGAGGACAAGAGATAAAGGGAGAGAAAAAATCAAGTTAAATAAACCTTAACTGCGGTGCACAATTAAGGCGGTATCATCTCCCTCTTGCAATTCATCTTCCGTACTTTATTGATTTCGGTAGCAGAAACTGGAGTCGTCGTGTTGGTTTTGATGGAAGAAGGCTCGATTTGAAATTCAATTTCCCTCTTGAGGGAGGGATAAAATTGGATGAGGAGGGAGATGGCTAAGTAACGCTCCTCTCGAGCTTTTCCCAAACGCACAATTTGTCTGCCTAATGAAAGTAAAGTATTAATCTGCGTATAATTGGAGATATATTTGAAAATCTAATTTTCTTTTACCATTTAGGCTAAAATTCCGTATGAAAGTAATTTTTTTTTTTTGGGGGGGGGGCTTTTGAGATGTTGAAGAAA